GTAGACAGAATATGATTAGGTACAATTATTTTAAACGAAGCTGTTTCTCAAGAGAAATAGTAGGTGGCCAAGCTTAATTTTTCACATGGAGAAGGCACTATTGAATAAAACATACCACTATGAAGGAAATTCTTAAGGCAAAACAATTCTTGAAATGTGAACCATTAGTGCATGGGTGTCAAACTCGATCGCATCATGTGATGTATCATGATGTATCATGATCGGTTTTGCTTTGTGGAGCTGGGGTGGGCGTGGCCTGTACATGACGCACCTGGCCCGTGGGCCACCAGTTTGATACCCCTGCTTTAGTGGGAGAGCAGCTACTGGGCTACATGTGGTTCAGGTAATTCTTGCCTTATGACCAATTTGTTTCATGAGTTACAATGGCGTTGGAAAAAAGTGACTTATGGCTGGTTCTCAAACGTATGACCATGTCAAGATCTCTGTAGTCACATGGTTGAAATTTGGGTATTTGGAAACTAGCATGTACCCCCAATGGTTACATGATTGCCATGTACGACGATCCCAGAGTCCTGGAAGTTCCAGTCCCAAGTACTTATCCTGGAAAATGAATATATAATATTGAGCATGGAAATTTATTTTCTTTCCTAAACTTTATAAGAGAGTTTGGGTGAAAAAAGGTATTTCATCTTGAGCATCCTAATTCTATTCTTAATTTCCTTTTCAGAATATGGCAAGATGTGTAGGGTTTTATTCAAGATAAGTGTAAAATAATGATTTAGAAATTATTAATTAAAATAAGAGGAAGCTCCCTTTCTCTTAATAATCTATCTTCTTCCAAAGGTTTTTGACCTCAGCCTTTCATAAATTACATTCACTGTCCTGCATATTTTTCTAATTTCTATAATAAGTTTCATATTTCAACCATTTCTGTGAAAATTGGTACATGGCAAATCTGTCTAGTTAATCACTAAGTGCTGACACCCATTTGATAGCCCATAATAACATATTGTAATTAATGAATAAATTATGATGATCTGTTCACAGCAATGTGAAGTTGCAGCTGCATGTTCTTTAGCTAAAGTTCTTCCCATTTTTTATTATTCTTATTAGAACTCTACTTAGCAAATGATAGGGCAAGAAAAAGACAAAGAAGTAGATCAACAGGTGGCATTTGAGCAGAAACTTAATAATTTTCAAACAAAAGATTTCTCTAAGAAAGATAGGACTCAGAAACAAACATCTTTCCCAATGTGAGTAAACAACAGGCAAAGGGAGAAAGAACCACAGTGTATCTTCTTACAGTTCCATAGAGTTTTCTAAGTTTTCTAAGTTTTCTCTTCTCCAATAAATGATTTTCACATTATTCTCAATATTCATCTTCCTTACAAAACCTGCAGAAAAGACAGGGTGTGGGCAGAACTGAGATAGGATTAAAGTTCATCATATTTATTTTTCCCCTCTGAATATTAGCATCAAATGAAGGAAATCAATATGAATTCTCATAGACACTGACATGTTTATATGATTTCAAAAGATAAGGAATTCCCTTCTAAGCCTGGATTGCTATATGTATTCAAAAAACTTTTTTTCTTGGTCATTGAATAAGAACTCAAGATCAAAAAGCCCAGTTGATTTGTATGATTCCTTCTCTTCCTAACACATTTTTTAAAAGTTTATGAAATGCTACAACTCAGTGATGGAATAGATACTTCATGCTCAATTATAGTCCTTAGAGATATTTGACTTTTTAAATCGAAAAATAACATACCACGTTTTAGAAAACTGCTCTAAGAACACACAATACTTAACTGTATTTAATTGTCTAAGTGTCTTGATTTGATATATCAAATAAGATATATCACTGAATGTATTCCTTACATTTCCTTTTTTAAGTGAATTGTCTGTGTTGTTTTTAATTATTATTAGGACTATGTAGGCTGTTGCGCTTCTTCAATACTCTTTAATAGATGTTCAGATGAAGAAATAATCTAGTCTTTATTCAATCTATTAAAAAACAAAAGAAACAAAATGGATCCCATCTTAGTATATAACTATCATATCTACTTTTACAAATTTAGCTGAAAAGAATTGATAAAAGAGGCAAACACTTGATTGTATATACTATTTTGAATGTTAGCTTTATTAAAGATCATATGTAGAAATTCCTACATGAAATGTAGGAATTTCATTGTAGAAATTCCCTCTGGATTGGAGACAAGTGTTTGTTGAATCTATTATCCTAAGAGTTCATATAAAATAGTATCCAAAATCTCACAGAAAATTAGATATTGTATCTTCTGGTTATGTCCTTATTTTTGTGAAGACTCCTTCTGCAAATATCAGCATTCTGAAAGCAAATTTTCCTCCTCTTTAGTAAGCAATGAATCATCCTGCTTGAAAATCTCTTTTTAAAGAAAATCTCTTACAGTGGCAGATGCTGAAAGTACTATGGTTACTCCAGGTTTTTTCATCTTGCTAACATGTATCAGAACTTGTTTAAGACTCTCTCAGCTCTTCTTCAATCTATTCATGGTCCCCAGATGGAATATCAACAGATGGAGTTGCTTAAGAAAACTATACTTTCTAAATGATCTACCCCAGTAAAAGGAAGTGAAAGGAGAGATGGTGGCTTCCCCAAGAATAGATATAGCAACTACAGTGGTACCTTGGTACTCATTGTTAATTGGTTCCAGGAGATGCAATGAGTACCAAAAACAATGAGTACCAACAAAGTTTTCCCATAAGGAATAATGTAGTGAGTCCCAAGGCAATAGACACCAACATGTTCTAGCTTGTGTATTGAGTAGCAAATAAATGATGAGTACCAGAGAAAATTTTTCACATTAAAATGTGTTGAGTACAAAAGTTGATGAGTTTCAAAGTACCACTGTACAGATCTTTTTACTTACTTGCCAACTGTGCTACTGCCAGATGTTGGACTCACTGGTACTCCTTCTGCTACTCTTCAGGCCAGGAACTTGATTTCAAGGAAAGACATTGGAATACCAATACTACTACTACTACTACTATTACTACTACTACTACTACTAATGATAATAATATAATAATAATAATATAATAATAATATAATAATAATAATGATAATGATAATGATAATGATAATGATAATAATAATAATAATAATAATAATAATAATAATAATAATAATAATAATAATAATAATAAAAGAAGCAGTGGTTGGAAACTAACCAAGGAGAGAACCAATCTAGAAATAAGAAGACATTTTCTGATAGTTAGAACAATTAACTAGTGTAACAGGTTGCATTCAAAAATCATGGACACTCCATCACTGGAGGCTTTTAAGAAGAGACTGGAGAGCCACCTCTCTGAAATGGGATAGGGACTCCTGCTTGAGCAGGGGATTGGACTAGAAGACCTACAAGGTCCCTTCCAACTCTGTTATTCTGTTCTGTTACAAATAATAATAATATCATCCTGTGAGCCTGGTACAGGACCCTTTCCTCCCTATTTCTGGAGGCTATCAAGATCAAGGCTGAAAATCTTGCAAACATACTGCCTTTCACATTCATTCATTCATTCATTCATTCATTCATTCATTCATTCATTCATTCATTCATTCATTCATTCATTGTACCTTCAAATCTGTGTTGACTGCTAGTGACTGCCTGGGCAAGTCACTGCCATTGGGGGGGGGGAGATTTTGGAAGTGGTTTGCCATGGTCTCCTTCCTAGGACTAAGAAACAATAACTGTCCCAAGGTCACCCGGCTAGTTTCACATTTAAGGTGGGACTAGAACTCATAGCATCTAAGTTTCTAGCCTGATGCCTTAATTGCTACACCAAATTGGCTCTTGTCTTTTAAAATGTCTCACTCATGTTTCCATGGTTTTCCCTTCCAGTATTTTCTAGGAATGACTATTGGGTCTTACTAGATCAGCCTCACCCTGGTTTGGATTAGATGATAGCATTTGTTTATGGCCATTTAAAGAGTTGGGACTTTCTCCCCAGGGATTGTCCAAATGCATCAAGTTTTGATGCTCAGATTTTATGAGTATAGATATGTCAAAAACATTTCAGTGGCTGTCCACTTACCTTCTTCAATAGCTCTACTATGAATGTGATACAACTCATGGATTTATTCAGACAAATGTGGGAGGGGAAGGGGATTCATAAACAATTAAATGCTGTGTATATTGTAGAGAATCCCAGGAAATCAACATGCCTATATTTCTTACTGGAGAATTCCATTAGGCATTTTCTGTGATTGTGTTGTAGTAGCACAATTTGTTTCTTGATCTACTGTGTTAGGATTTAGCTGGCATTCAGGGTTATAAAAAAACACCAGTTTTCAAGCTGCCTTCTTCATCAGGAATTGCTAAAGTGATTATAAATGAAAAAAATTGTTCATTTGTTTGTTTTACCTTGAACTTTGAATGCTGAGATTTTGGAGACTTCTTCATAGGGATAAACCCATTCTGAATGAAATGAAATAAACTAAATTCATTTTTCCACATGTTTCAGGAAGCAGATTTCATACTATGCAGCCAATTGGACCATCTATAATTCTTCTTTACTAAAGCATGTAGAAAATTGTAATACCCTGTAATAATGTAAAGTACCCCAGCCATTCATTTTATGTTGGTTTCTGTTTCTATACTAATACAATATATTTCAGATAAAATTAATGTTGCTGAATTTTGTGAAACATATTCTTGAATAAGGAGGTATAAAATTGTAGATATTCTGAAATCTGAATCATGAATACACCTGAATAAACATTATTAGGATTGCAACATTAATATTATTAAATAGGTTTGCACTGAATTGCACTTTTGGATGGCCAAATATATTTTGCTCAAATATAGGAAGTTCATATATATTGTTGCTATAAGAAAAACCTTCAGCTTAGATATATTACTACTTTGCAGTAATAAAATGAGTCATATTTTCAGCTATCCATCACTTGCAATTTGTAGCAACAACATATTACATGCTTAAACATTTATTCTTAATGCCTGATTTTTCTAACGAATTCTAATTTTGTATTTTTGTAGATTTTTTCTAAAGTTTTTCCTCAAGTGCAATCAAAACTGTTTGAAGAATGCAGGCAACCCACGAGATATGCGAAGATTCCAGGTACTGTTTTAAAAAAGAATTAAAATTACATACAGACAATTTGTAAGGATTTTTACAGAGGGAAAGCCTATTATATTATTTCAGTACTATTTCTTCTTTAGAAAGAACATTCAAAGCAGCAAATTTAACCAAGGCATGTCATTATTTGTCTAATTTAATTGCAAGTTATATTTTCAGTTCTCCTTCAGGAGTGAAACAGAAACTTTGCCTTGTTCTTCCAATTCCTGTTTTAGTTATTTCTCTTATAATGATCTGAATAGACCTAAGCAGGACTGTTTCTCCTTGCAAAAAGAAAAAAGAAAAAAGAAAAAAAGAACTTGGAAATATCTGATAATAATTTTCCTACCTTCAGAACTTTCTCTATGCTATTGAATTACTGTATTCTTCACAAAAAATTGTAATAAAATATAATTTCTGTAGAAAAAGAATTGCTTGAAAGTTGGATTCATCACTGTAATTTTTATGTAGTATATATTTTTAATATTAATATGGGAGAAGTAGAATTGTTTTCCAAATCTACCTTGGTTAATCCAAACTACTATAGAACAGTTTATGCCTTAATAGATAATTACTTTCACGAAATGGGAGCAATTAAGAAACATGTTAAAAATAACATAATAGAATAACAGCATTATTAAAGGCTATAGCGGAGGGTAGATATGCATAGTTTCCCAATTCAATAAAATGATTCATTCTACCATAAATACCTGTGTAGGAAATAAAAAAGCAACACTTAAAAATAACTTCATGAAGTCCTCAATTTCATGCATCTTAAGTTCATGTATCATTGACAATAACGATCCATTGAAAGACATAAAGTGCTTGTAGGGTTGAATTGTCAGTACAATTATCCATAAAATGAAACATACAGATGGTCCTTGATTTAGGAAAACCCTTGGAATTTTGGTTATAATTCAGGTCAGTTGATATGCTTGCCACCACATGACCTGATTTGATTTTATGACCATTTTTACAACTGTCATAAAGTAAGTCACCATGGTAGTTAATTGAACCACATATTATTAAGATAATCCAGCATATGCAATGAGCGTTTGATGAAAAATGGCACCAGAGTTGCAAACTATGATCATATGACCACAGGATATTGCAATTGGTTATAAATGTGAGCTGGATCTGGCATGTGATCACATGACCACAGGGAGGGACAGTGCAACATTTTACAATAGTTGGAAATGCTGTACAGCTTGTAAAGCATCCTTTCCAAGGCTGTCATAACTTTGAATGGTCATTCAGTGGCTAGTCATTAAGAGAAGACTACTTGTGTTAAGTGCAGTTCTAACTGAAGATTTTTCTTTTACTTTTTTCCAATTGGTAGACTTACAAAATACATTTTAAAGGACCGATAAAGTCTTTGAAATTTGCATTACCTGAGCTTAAAACCTGGAATTAATAGAAATACCCACTTGTCTCACCAGTCATAAGTAATCATGTAGCTGGTAACAGAACTCCTAGAAAGTTCAGCTTCCGTAGATAATAAGCCGACTTCTTACAATGTTTAAGTAGATTTAACAGGATGTCAGGTCTTAAACAAGATTTTAAACCTGTTTTAAAAATATGTGTGTCAGCGTTTTCATTAGAAGCACGGCAAAAATGAGCCAATCAAATAAAACTAAAGAGAATATAAATATACTTTCGTGGACAACACCCTCTTCCCCCCATATTGGTACTCACTGATATATTTGTAGTGCATAAATGAGGCAAAAACCTGGTTTAGAACTATACTTAAATATGTTTCATTCTATGGACAACTGTTTTGACAATTCAGTCCTAAAAACATTTTAAACTTTATGTGGGGTATGAATCATCTTATAACTCACGAAAGCTAAAAACCGCGAGCTATAGATAGGATGAAATTTAAAATGTTGTAAATAGTTAACAGTGTGAGCCCCTTAAAATGGATAACCAAGGCAAAAATACAGTCTGTACATGTGTATTTTTGGGAGGGGGGGAGGGTTGTTTTGCTTTTTTTTTTCCCTGAGAAAACAGTGCAGGCTGCAGAATCACAGACTTCTAGAGAAACACCCTCGGGCTTTTCTCAAGGGGAACACAGATGGCTGCCTCAGAGGAGGCCGAATATACAGGAGAAGGTGCTATAATAGCTGATAGCTAATTAGAGCATGTGGAAAAAAAACAGGATCAAAGGTGATCTAAAACATTGAAAATATAAAAGAATTTACATCTGATGCCTTGTACTCACTGGTTTCCAAAGGGAAAGTATATTGCGTTAATTTATCTGTGATACCATTGTAAGTTGTTCCTTTCTTCCTTTCTCTTCTTTCAAGAAATGTGTGATTTTGTCAATATGCATAGAACCTTTCGTAATCTTAGCCCTAGAAAAATAAGTAGTTCATTAGAAAAAGGACAGAAACCTAGAGAAATGACAGTACAGAAGTAGTGAAACATTTTTATTTATTTATATAGTAGATTAATATCTCACCTTATCTCCAGAATTTCAAGCAATACAGATTCACAAAAATCCTGTAAGGCAGCAGTCCCCAATCTTTCTGGTTCCATGGACTGGTGCTGGCAGTAGCAGTAGGGGAGGGATGGTTTAGCACATGCAGCCTAGATCCTGTGCATGTGCAAATGAAGCTTTGCGTGCTCTCCTGCCGCTTGTGCGGGCTGGTTCCCTACAGGCCATGGACTGGTGCCAGCAGCTGACCGGGGTTGGGGACCCCTGCTGTAAGGTATTTGGATGGAGAATAAGTGTGTGGTTCCATTTATTTTGTCTCTCTATGAGTATCTATGGCTGAAGGTGCATCTAGATTTTTTTGGTCCTAGTCAAATGCTTAACCTAGTCAAACCTTAACTACTATACACATTGTTGTCACTGGAGTTTCTGTCTCAGTTTTTGATATAATTTTCTAAGTTTGATTTGTAACTTACAAGCACATATAGGATCCTTACAATAAATACAACATACGAAAGTATCTTACAAGTCTATATATGGAATGCAATAGGAAAGGCTTTTCATTATAATGATATAATTGATCATTACAGTAAAATGGCACCTAACATCTAATGGATAGATGTTAATGCAAGAATTTTCATTTTTGTAAGTATTCATTTTAAAGTTTGTGCTAAGAAATAGTTGGAAAGCCTTATCCATCACTTTCCTGTGGTGGACACAGCGATAGTAATAGCCAGGGTTAAATTTAGTTTTTAGTTGGTCAATGTGCTTCTGAACTTGGAAATAGAAGAGTTCCAATTAAAGATAAGAAAGAAAAAATCATTGTCATGGTAGAATAAATCAACATATGAATTAAGTTGATTATGGCTACTTTCTGAATTAGAAGTGACTGAAGTCATTTTTGATATTCATATTCACTATGCTGTTTTCAGTTGCAGAAAACATTAGTTATCGCACATTAAGAATGCATTCAATCAATCAGAATAGAGCTGGAAGGGACCTTGGAGGTCTTCTACCAACCCCCTGCTCAAGCAGGTGGCTGTCTCGTCTTTTCTGAAAAATCTTCAGTGATGAAGCATCCACAACTTATGAAGGCAATCTGTTCCACTGGTTAATTGTCCTCACTGTTAGGAAGTTTCTCCTTAATTCCAGATTGTTTCTCTCCTTGATTAGTTTCCATTCATTGTTTCTTGTCTTGCCTTCTGATGCTTTGGTAAATAGGTTGCCCCCCTCTTCTTTGTGACAGACCCTCAAATACTGGAACATGTTATCCCTAGTCCTTCTTTTCTCTAGACTAGCCATACCCAATTCTTGCAACCTTCATCATATGTTTTAGTCTCCGGGCCCTTATTCATCTTAGTTGTTGTTCTCTGCACTTTTTCCAAAGTCTCAACCTCTTTTTTGTAATGTGGTGATCAAAACTGGATGCAGTATTCCAAGTGTGGTCTTACAAAAGCTTTATAAAGTGGTACTAATACTTTGCATGATTTTGAATTCTATGCCTCTGTTTATACAACCAAGGATTATGTTAACTTTTTTTGGTTGCTGCTGCATACTACTGGCTCATATTTAAGTGATCATCCACTAGGTTTCACCTAATCCATACTTGTACCTTTAGTTTTTCCTGCCTAGGTGTAAAACCTTGCTTTTCTCTATATTAAATTTCATTTTGTTAGATAGGGCCCATTGCTCAACAACCTTTTGGATCCTGAGCTTTTTTTCTAGGGTGTTGGCTATTCCTGCCAGCTTAGTGTCATGTGCAAAGAACCTTAAAGTTCTTTGGAGAATAATTTATAATTTTGGTGATCAGAATTATTCTGACATAGATGTGCAAATCTAACATAGGTTAATCTTCTTCTAGTTCTTTTCATAGCATTTTGTGAATCTTTTTTTCTCTCTCAGAAGGACAAAAAATGGAAATTTAGAATTTTCATGAAATCTGATTCTGATAATTGAATGAGGGGAAAAGGGAAAAATATTTGGATTTGAAAGATCCAATGGCTTCCTAGATCTCATCTGACGTGAGAGAATTGTATATAGCTAGAAAGAGCAGGGCTTTTTTTGTCATAGAACACCCAGAACGGCACCTTTTTGGATGGAATTTTGTAGAGTAGGCAAGGCGGGTTGTATGACATGTGTGAGTTCCGGCATCTTTTTTTTTTTTTTTTTTTTTTTTACAAAAAAAGCACTGAGAAAGGGTATTTCTGTACTGCATGCAGAAAGAAGGCATATTCTTTTAAAAAAACAGAAAAAAAGATGAAGGGATGTAAACATCTCCTTATGTCTGTTTCTACCTTGCTAAGTAATCCATAGAATATTTTGATGGTGCACTAGAATAGCTACAATCTCAAGGAAGGTGTCAATATCTGTTCTGGATTTCTTTTTCTCAGATTCTAGAAAGTGCAAAAGAAATGTTCCGTGTGAGTTGCACGAAGAAGCTAAAACCATCCTGTGTCAAATTATACCAGGCCAAGGAATAGTAATGTTTATTATAGTGGAAGGGAATGCCATTTTTTTTTCCCTTTTCAATCTTTAAATGAGACAATTCTTCTATTTTTGAAAATTCCTTGTCTCATAACAGCTATTTATAAGATTGCTTTGTAAATATGATAGCAAAAATGACCTAAAGATCATTTCTGAAGAGAACAGCAGAAAGTTACATATAGCTACTGATTTATGAAGTGTTTTCCCCTTTGACTTTGAGTGCTCACAATTCTTCATTTGAAGACAGTCTCAAGTGTACAAATTTTAATTAGATAAACTATCTAATCAATATATCAACAGATCAATCAAAACAGTAGCTTTTAAAATGAGTGGTTAGAGGGGTGTTTCTGAAACAAATGACTAGAAGAATATTTTCCTAGAATTGAATTCATTTGTTAGCATAATAGGAGATTAAACTCTAATTAGCGTGAGGGTGTTGAAGAAGGGAGGGGAACTGTGTGTAGAAAAATCTCCCGCAATAGCCAAAAAAAGAGTGAATTGCATCTATGAATAACACAGTGTTCATAAAAATAGCATACTACATTAAACATATTTTTCAGCATGAGATTTATTGCAATAGGTGCACCCCATTTTCAAAGTGTGTATGTTTCAAAAAAGAAATGTCTTTCTTTTCTTTCTTTACCCCCTAGGTTGTTGTATCAACAACAGTCAATGTGGATGGCCATGTTCTGGCTGTCTCAGACAACATGTTTGTACACAACAACTCCAAACATGGAAGGCGGGCTCGCCGCCTTGACCCCTCAGAAGGTACGGCCCCTTCTTATCTGGAAAATGGTAGGCACACATTTACATGCCTTTTTAATTTGCAATGCTTTCTTTGCACCATTTTTTTTCCGCACACCACCATATTTATTTATTTATCATGGTTTCTTTGTCCTCCGGATTCATCCCATTAAAATGCATTAGCTTTTCTGATTCCACTTTAAAAACAAGGTTGTTCCTTCTTTATTTGCTTTTGACTTAACTTTCTTTATAACATCTAACATCTGCAATGTTCAGCCATTTTCTATTCTTCTCTATTTATTTGCTATCAGCTTTTTCTGTTTCAGTTCGATTTTCTTTCACTTTGGCTTTTTGAAATCATCGGAAAAATATACATTATGCATGTAAGTTTGCATAGAACCTTAAAACATGATCAATGGTAGTTTTTGTAAAGAATTTACTATGACTTCACTCACTGGACTGGGCCTTACTGCAGCACATTAAGGCACTATGTCTCCTCATCCTTTTTTTCCCCTAAAAATGTTAGTGTACAAAGAGAAAAGTAATTTCAATTCTCTAAAATAAAACACTGTCAACCACTGCATGTTGCATATTCAAGCATCTAACATCTGATATTTATCTAGGATTTAGGTAAGGCCAAATCCAATCCCAGCTACTTTTATTGAAAGAGCTACTGATACCTTACAAATCTGTAGAGTAATAATGGATACATTTCTAAAAGTATAAAGCAATACGTGTTACATTTTACTGAAAAATAAATAATGTTTTCCCCAAATAATTTATATTTAAAATAAAAAAGTTGTCACTGACAATGTAGTAATAGTTTTCAGATAATACAGATCAGAGGGGTTGTTTTTTTTGCTTAATCTTCCTTTGGGAGTTGAAAACATTACATTAAATTCTGCTTTCTTTTCAGGTAAAAAAGGTGTTTATTTATACCATTAATAGGCCACTTTTTGCCATACATATGATCTTCCACAGCAGAAGAAACAATACAATAAAAATTAGAATACACTATGCTAGTGCTTAAATTACAGAAATAACAAACATGGAGACAACTGTTTGAAAAATAAAAGTTAGATTTATAGCTTTTCAGAACAGGGAAGAACAGTTTCAGGATGCAAACATCACAACCAATATTTGGTTAACATTGAAACAGAAATGCAAAAATACCATTAACGGAGAACATGGTGTCTAATTAGTTGACCTAATGTCAAGTTATAAGCTAGTTGCGCAAGAAATTAATCCTGCAAATAATAACTATTTTATCTACCTTAAGACTTATAAATCAATAGGCTGAATTCACCTATATGTCTTTGCCACTGGTGACAGAAGAGGTCTTTGTCCCATGCTCCCTGCATCTTAAAATAATAATAATAATAATAATAATAATAATAATAATAATAATAATAATAATAATAATAATAATAATAATAATAATAATAATAATAATAATACGTAGGGTCAGTGAATCCTGGTGAATTGCAAAGGTTATGATGTGGGTGTAATGATACTGTATTCTGTGAGATGCCTTGTACTTACATTACATTCATCAATGTTGAAGAATGGCTTCTTGCATTCCCCTAAATCAGGATAAACTCAACGTTTAATTCTTTCATAATTCTCAAGCCATGCTTATTTGCAAACAGAAAATGATTTCTTCACATGTTACTTCTTGACACTGTTTATAATTAAATTATGGATTTTGATTGTAGGGGATGTAGTGATGCACATTAACCTCTGACTTTCAAAAGGTACT